CTCATTTTTCAAAGGTTTTTATAAACACCTGCTTCTTACATCTTTGGTAACGTGTTCCATACAACCACTTCTTTTCTTTTACTGCCATTGCTTCAACTTTATTGTGCCAAGTTTTGAAGACATCAGTAAGAATAAAGATAGCCAAAGGAAAAAAGCAGGAATGTTTTAACCTTGGTAGTTGAGAAAGCATATCTCAAACAGGAATATTTTGGTTAGTAACTTTTTTTATTACTCATATTTATATTATACTTGTCTGTATTTCTGGCAAGCTCCCTATAAAGAGATACTACTCATAACATGAAACTTAGCACTTCAAGAACCTAGTATTTGCTGAGACCACCTTCAGAAAAAGTGTAGCATTAAGATTTAATTCACTAAATCATATCCTAGAAACTACTGACTATATTGCATTCCATCCTGGCTAACTAGATTCACCTCCAATCAGACATGATCAATTTGAAAGTGGATCTAGGCTGCATATTTGTTAGCAGTTGCACTGAGGTTTACAAATTAGCTGATAATTAATCTCTGGATCCTGATTCTCGTGACAAGAAAAGGCTATATATTAAGTTCTTAATGACTGAAAGTCAAGCTACCTGAAGCTTCACAGTGCAGTTGGACACACAGCTCCTTATGTATACGCCAAGTGCAAGGTGTGCCAGAAATGTGCAAAGACAAAAACAAAACAAAACAAAAGTAGATAGAACTAACAGTCTTTCAGCACGTTCTTAAAATGTGGTTTCAAAGACACAATCTTAAGACAAGCATTAAATATTCATAACATTAATATTTTACTGAGAACAGTTCTCCTGATATCTCCCCTATGAAGTACACTGCACTCCTTCATTATGCACATGTGCAGTTGTTTCAAGGCGTTTCATCAAGACATGGCAGTAACCACCACTGTAAGCTGGGTTAGCTAGCAAATATGGAAAGCTGCTCCATGTGTATGAGTTTTAATTCCTTGGGTAGTAACAAACACATGGAACAAATGTTAACGTGAAAAGTTCCTTTTAGATCTCGTCCAAAGAAGGGCAACAAGGCTTGTGAAGAGCTTGGAGAATATGCTCTATGAGGAGCAACTGAAGGAACTGGGGCTGTTTAGTCTGGGGAAAAGGAGGCTGAGGGGAGACCTTATTGCTCTCCTCAAATACCTGAAAGGTGATTGCAGCGAGAAGGGGGCTGGTCTCTTCTCACTGGTGACAGGACGAGGGAAAATAGCCTTAAATTGTGCCAGGGTAAGTTTAGGTTGGATATCAGATAAAACTTCTTTACAGAAAGGGCTGTTAAGCACTGGAATAGGCTCCCCAGGGAGGTGGTTGAGTCACCATCCCTGGATGTGTTTAAAAACTGCTTGGATGTGGTGTTCAGGGACTTGATTTAGTGGAGGGTTGTTAGGGAGGTATGGTTAGGTTGTGGCTGGACTTGATGATCTTTAAGGTCTTTTCCAACCTGAGCAATTCTATAATTTTATGATCATAAGATCATAAAATAGTATTTTATGGCTGTTCATGCAGTTTTATAATAGCTTTAGTCCTCCACTGATACTAGCTAGCAAAGGTTATATAGGCTTTCCACACAGGTGAAAATAGTTGTAAGAGAATTGATTACTGAACTATTATGTATATGCCAGAAGAAGAAAAGGGTTAAAAAAACTAACACCCCAAGCAGATGTTATTTATATTCATGCCCTTTTTTTTTTTAATTATTATTATTATTATTATTATTATTATTATTATTATTATTATTAT